AAAAAAAAAAAAAAAAAAAAAAAGCTTTGAACAAAGAAAAAAAGAACCTTATTAAAGACATTGCCATCATAAGTACATCAAAAATGAAAGCTAATAATGTGACCTTTCCACCTATATAGTTCCATCTCATTTTCTTATGTTGAAGCCAGTCTAACATTTTAAATCTTTAGCACCTAATGTAGTTTACTTTCCTATAGTGTTTTCTTCCGGCTTTCATGTTTTGTTTTCTTCTAAAACTTAACATATTTTATTGGAAGTTAGCAGGCTTCCACCCCAGAGACTGATATTTTTTCTCACAAAAACTAATAAAGGTTTATGTTTGTGGGCATCTGGGTCTGGCATTTAATTTGACGTCCTCCTATATTTACACAGTTCTTACTCATTTATTTACGGGTCCTTGATTACCTGTGGTGCACCAGGTGCTAGATCCTGAAATAGTGTGCTAGACAGACATTCTGTCTTCCCTCCCAGTTTATAGTCATAATTTTACTTTTCTTTTGGGAAATTTAACATGACAGTTTAATGGCCAAAGGGTTAAACTCACTGATGAGGTGACAGAGTCCGCAGCTGTGTGTGTGAATTCTGTGTGTGCTCCCCTGTGAGGGCAGTTCCTGTGGTAAGAGGTAAGCCACGAGAGACAGAGCCGGATGCAATGCGGTCACGGCACATCACACAGGCCGGCTTCAGAGTCAGTGTGTAGAATGAAGACTAAGTGTGGGTAAAATTCTTGTCTTTAAACATTGGCATCACATTTGGGAGGTGATGCCCACACCAGGATCTGTGCTGAGGAGCCGGGTTCGATGGAGAAAAATGTTTCACATTTTCCATCTCATGCTAATCAAAAGAAATGGCCCACTAAATCACCCTCCCTATCGAAATGATTATTTCTCTCTCTTTCCTTCTCATCCCTCTGTGTGTGCAGTGGAATGAGGAAGGGGAAGAGGGATAGGAAGAAGCTGAACGTGCAGAGTTAAATTCATAGATGTGAAACGAGACACATACCTAGCATGTGAGAGTTGCCACTGCATGAAGATAGCAGAAAGGCAAGTTGCAGCCTCATTCACATGGTGAAGGTAAATGTGTACTTGTGTCTAAGACAATCAGCCTCTAGATTACAGGGTGACCTCGCCAATACCCAAGCACAGCTACTGTTCTGGAGAACTGTTTATAGCATTATTTTTATCTCTCTTGACAGTTTGGGAACCCAGAGTGTAAAGGACTGTTGAACAAATGAATTTGGGAATTACAGCATTGAGTTCAATTAAAAAGGCTTTTTAGCTGAAACAATTGTTTACAGCACCATATTTAATTCCTATAAAACTGTATTCTAAACTATCTTGTGAGAGACATTTCCGTGTTACATTAAAAGTTTTTGCCTTTGGTAATTAATGGTTCATTTGCTTTAAAGCATTATGTCATCCTCTTTTGCTTAAGAAAAAGATTAACTTTTGTGCAGGGATAATGGGCTTAAATATTTAAACAAAAAAAAGTATTTAACTGGTTTTCCCAATTTTGTTGTTTATTTTCCCTTCTCTGCAGTTTCGTGCCTTGGCACCAATGTACTACCGAGGATCGGCTGCAGCTATAATAGTTTATGATATCACAAAAGAAGTAAGACAATATTTGGTTTTTCTTGCACTGCTTTGGCAATTCTTGAGTGCTTAGATCTCCAGTTGTTTTACTTCTGTGTTGCAGGAGACATTTTCAACATTAAAGAACTGGGTAAAGGAGCTTCGACAGCATGGCCCACCTAATATTGTAGTCGCCATTGCAGGAAATAAGTGTGATCTTATCGATGTCAGGTAACTTATTAGAACAAGTGATTGCAGTGCTGATTATTTGTTCCTTTTCTTAATGAGTAATATCCAGGATGAGAATCTTGCTTTTATTGTATCTCTGACATTGAAAAATTTCTTCTTGCTATGTGGTTGGAGCCTGAAGTTTCAGTCAAAAATTAAGGTTTCAGGCATTTGGAGCTAATTGTATTATATATAGAGAGAAACGAATGTGCAATTTACTTAAACACTGGTCACATTGCATTTGACATTATGTGAGATCAGTGCTGCCCCAAGATTCCTGTGATGCAGGATACTTGAATACAGAAAGCACGACTGGTAGTTTCTCTGCACCACTTGCGTGATTTTCAAAGCAAGGAGTTTTTTTCTTTTAATTTGGAAGGGAGGTGAATATAGAAAACTTTGCTGTTTCTTGATCATTCCATTAGCTGCACGGTTATGTTACGAGTGGTACTGAGTTTTATTTAAAGGCAGAAGTAGGATAATTGGGAAAGTCATATGTGAGGGCTCATTCAGCAGCCTTTTGGGATATCCCTTGTCATCATAAATCTGGTTAATAACTGGGTAGGTGGGAATATTGTTAAAAGAATTTCTGATATGCAATTGTTGTCTTCCAGAGAAGTCATGGAGAGAGATGCTAAGGACTACGCTGACTCCATTCATGCGATTTTTGTGGAGACCAGTGCAAAAAATGCGATAAACATAAATGAACTCTTTATAGAAATTAGTGAGTATCTCTGTGTCTTACGGGTTTCCTCTGTGCAGAACAGCTTCAGAGCTGTCTTTCTGGTGAGCGTCCCTAACTTTTTGAGTAGTGTAGTCTCTGATACTCTCCTCAGTGAGATGAGATTTGAGGATATGAGGATGGCCTGCTTTCCAGTCATGGTATAACTGCTGGAGAACTGCTGCCGATTGACTGTAGCCCTTCTGGAAAGAATGTCACTACTGAATAAATAATGCATAAGGCATTGAGGTTATGGAAGCTGTCGTGTCTCTAGCTCTTTCTGTATTTAAATGTGTTTCAGTTAGTCATCCAAGGTCATCAAAAATGAACAAAATAAAGGGAAATGAAATGTAGGTATGATTCCACTATAAGAAAACCCTGAAAAAATTAGTCGGCAAAGAAAGGTAAGTCCTCTCTTCCTCACCTTCCCCTGCTCTTTCCAGAGTGTTAATATGATGGCACTAGATGGGAGAGAGACGGCTGCATGCCTTTGGGATCGTCTGCAGATTGTATCTGTTCATTCATTTCATTCAAATTCATCAAAATATTTATTAGGAACTGTTCCAGGCTCAGGGGAGACAGCATAAAGAAGATAGACACAGCCCTTGCTCTCCTGGAGTACATGTTCTGCTGAAGGAGGCAGACAGTGAACACCAGATAAATAGGATCATTTCAGATAATAATAAGAGATAGGAAGAAAATAATTCAGGATAAAGTGAGGGTGCTTGCAGGTGGTCAGGGAGGGCCTCTCTGAGGAGGTGGTATCAGAGCTGAAGTCTGACAGAATGAGGATTCACATTAACTGAACATGGCAGACTTGCAGATGGAGGGAGCTCTGGGCCCTGGGGCCCTGGGCCCAGCTGTAGCAGTTGGGGCCAGGCCACATTATGGGCCTCTGGGTGCCCACTTGCTGAGGTTGTTATCAAGTTCTATTTTGGTTTGGTCTTTGTGTTGCTGTCTAGTTTTCGTAAAGATCTTTATTCGAGGCCAGGGACTTGGCTCAGTGGTGCTGCCGCCTGCCTCTGCAATTGCAAGGACCCAAGTTTGATCCCCGGTACCAAAAAATAAATAAAAAGATCTTTAGTCATATGTCATGTGCCCATTGTTTAGATTTGACCACTAATTCTCAGAGTACTTTGCAGATGACCTCATGGCCCACAGCCTGCTAGTAACATGTTGTTGACCAGCCCTTCATTTCAAAGTTAGAAGATATGGTGTTCCTTGTTGCCCTAGATGTAAATGCCAGGTATCCAGATGCATTCTTCAAAAGCAATATAAGGCTAATCAGGAATTTTTAACAGTTCTAGCCAAATATTTCTGTAGGGTGTTATATTTTAAAACTATCACTGTTGGTTTGGTTTTGTTTCAGTGTTCTTTACTATAGCAGTATTAAAAACAGGAAGGTAGTGCACTATACCAACAATGGAATTCTTACATGAAAACTAGTATGGCAGGCCAGGGATTTAGCTCAGTGATTCCGGCGTCTGCCTCGCAAGTGCAAGGACCTGAGTTCAATCCCTGGTACCACAAAAAAAAAAAAAAAAATAGTATGGCAGGGGTATACGAAGTGCAATAGTGAGAGAACTTGTCTAGCATGTATGTGTGATGAGATCCTAGGTTCCCCAGCACCCCAGCAAGGCATGGGGGGGTGGCTACCATGCACATACTCATTTTAACTGTGAAAAATAAAGATATGTTTTAAAAAATGAAAAGAATAGACTGGAAAATTAAATTTTTTTGTTCACTAGGTGTTGTAAAATTGCATACGCACAGTGTGTGGTAGACTGGCTTTGTGTTAAAGGGTAGCATACTTACAGAAAAGGACGCTGAGCAGGAGTACAAGTCCAGTGACTTGTCACACATGGAATGGAGCCTGTGCTTAGCACTTAGGCTCAGACAGTGGCCCTTCCTACCTCCAAGGGAAACCACCGTCCTGCCTGCTAACTCTTCAGTTGGTTTTACCTGTTTTGTGGCAGTTGCGGGTGGGTAGCTGCTATTTTGGTTTTTCTTTTGGTTGGTTGGTCGGTTTTGAGATAGGTTTCACTATGTATCCCAGGCTGGCCCTGGACTCACAGCAATCCACCTGCCCCAGCCTCCTGATTGTTGGACTTGCAAGTGTACACCACAGTACCTGGCAACTGTGTATTTTAAAACATTCCGTTTATCCTTTGTCTGGCTTCTTTCATTCTTTGTTATTTTTTTATCATCTGTATCATCACATACCTGTAAAACATGCATTCTCATGGCTGGTCTGTGTCAGTGTCTAGAAACAGAGTTAGGAGACAGACAGGCAGGAACTATCCAGTGTAATTATCCAATCAAATTAAGCATTTGGGTAGTTGTTTCCAACTTAGAGCTATTACAAATAGTAATGCTCTGAACATTCTGGTCATGTCCTTTGGTGAACATCTGTACACATGTGTTTTTAGATATCTCTTTGCTCAAGAGAAGAACTGCTGGGTCACTGGATCTCCATGTGTTCAGTGTGACCTTACTGCCAGTTTTCAAAGTGGCTGTCCTGCTAGTTAATATCGGTACCAGTGGTATATGAGAGTTGCTTTCTTTTTCATATCTGCTGAGTGGCTTCTGCATTTCCATGATGGTGATGAAATTTAGTATTTGTCCAAATATTTATTTACATTTACATACTATCTGGGTATCCTCTTTTGTGAAGTACCTTTTAAAAATTAAATCTTCTGCCTGTTTTCCTATTGGGCTACCTACCTTTTTCTTCTTATTTTGTACCTCATTGGATCTGAGGATTTATTGATTATATGTACTGGAAATTTCTACTCTGTGGTTTGGCTTTCATTTCTTTTTTTTTCAGTTCTGGGAATCAAACTCAGGACCTTGCACTTGCCAGGCAGGCAAGACAGTGCTGAGCTACATCCTCAGCCCTGAAGTTTTTAATCTTAATCTAACCTGATATGTCCTTATTTTCTTTAATAGTGAGCAGTTTTTTAGTTCCTGTTTAAGAAACCATTACTAGTTCATGAAGATGTTTTCTCCTGCTTTCTTCTAAAAATATTCATTCTTTTAAAATTTTTTGTTGCATTTTACAGTTGCCTCTGTGATGCCAGCTGTATTTGTTTTTATTTACTGAGAAACACCTAATGATAATTTTCAGCAAAGCTTTAAAATAAATTTGCTATTTATTCACAGCAGTGGGTATGGGCATTTGAAAAGTTGTAGGTCACTTTCTAGTTGGTACAGAAACCATGCTCATTACTGCCCAGACAGGTTATGAACTGCCCAAAATGGTGGATCCTCAAGGTTTGCCCACCAAGGACCTGAGGGTTATCACAAATTCCCTCTCCACCTTATTAATGTCAGAAGATGTAGCTGTCCATTCATTCCATGTTTACCCAATACTAGGAACACCGAGATAGAGGAACAGGATCTTTTCCCCCAAGAGCTTAGGATCTAGTTTAAGGAAGCTAGGCAAGTAAACAAATAGAGCATGCTTCTGGTGTTTTGGTGGATTTTAGTGTCTGAGCTGTTGGGGAATTAGGAAGTTGGGAGGGCATCAAGAGAAGCTTTGTACAAGAAGCAGCCTTTTGAGTTATCAGCCAGATAGGTAGATGGATGATTCAAGGTTCCTGGAAATTAGCATTATGCTTCACAGAGCAGTAAACTGAAAAACCTGTTCATTCTCACGTGTTGCTGGTAGGAAAATAAAGTGACACAGCCTTTTCAGAGAACCATCTGGCAGCATTTGTCAACATTTAAATTGTGTGTCCTTCTTACATTTGTGCTAGATAAGATGCTGGGAATATGGTGTATGAGTTAGACAGATGCCCAGGAGTAGAATGGCATGCATGACCTGGCTCCTCCACACTGTTTATTCTATGCATATACCATCGATAAATACTGAGAGAAAACTAAATATCCGTCAGTAGAGAAATGGTTAGATACATACACATGATACAGTATTATAGAGGTAATAACGACGCAGCAGCTCCACATTATACTGTGCTGAAACAATCCCAAGACTTATTTAGTGAAAATAGCAAGGGAGAGAACAGTGCATACTGTTGGCTCCCATTTGTACCCTTTGCGGGGAGGGGGTACCAGTGATCAAACTCAGGACATTGCACTTGTGAGGCAGGCAGCTACACCACTGAGCTAAATTTCCAGCCCTGTTTGCTCCCATTTGTCCCTCAAAAGAGGAGCTGATCTGGGGAATGAGACATACCATAAATATTTTACTAAGTGCCATGTGGTATCCTTGGTGCTAGACAGAAACAGGACATTAGTGGAAAAATTGGTGACATCTGAAAAACAAGAGTTAATGGTGATGTGGCAGTGTTGAATTCTTCATTTTGACAGATGATCACGGTGATACAGTATAAGATATCAACATTGGGGGAACTGGATGAGAATATACAGGAACTCTAGTCATCTTTGCAAGTTTTCTGTAAATGATTCCAAAGTAAAACATTTAGTAAACTTTTTTTTTTTTTACTTTAATGAAACCTGTCAGATTGCATGAGATTGCATTGTTGGTCTGAGAATGAACAGATTTGGAAAGTTGAATCCAATTCTCTCCCCTTCTCTGTCGGTGTAGGTCGAAGAATTCCATCCACTGACGCCAACCCGCCATCTGGTGGTAAGGGCTTCAAACTCCGAAGACCGCCATCAGAGCCAAAGCGAAACTGCTGTTGATGAGCCTCAGCCTCTCAGACTTGATGAAGTAGGTGAGGTTAGAAATTGGCAGGAGGGCTGCAGGCCCTGCTGAGCTGCTCTTGAGTCTTCTTCATACAAAAAGGACTTACAGAAATTGACCAGTTCTGTGCTCTTTGAAGACTGCAACAGTGTATTTCAGTCTGCAGACTTGTATTGTGTCAAGACTCTGGTGTACAAAGGGACTGCGTCATTGGCTTTTGACCTTGCTGAAAGGAACATCTAATTGTATGAGTGGTAGGATTAAATTGCTGAGTACTTTTGTAATCAAGGTTTTATGTAACATTTGTAAAGGGAAAATTAGCACTTTCATGGTCTGTGAAAGAGGGAGACTTTTTGGAGATTTTCATTTCCTTGATTTTCCATTGCCACTGTTAAAGGGAGTTGTATCATTTAAAATGTGGTAGAATTTTGCAAGTGGGGAGCTGGCAGTTATTCTTTTAAAGTAAAATGGGTTATTTCTAGGGTGGATGGAGATGATCACATCTCTGCTCTGCTGGGTGGATTCGCCGCAGACCTATGCAGTGAGCTGACGTCATGGCGGCAGCTCCCACCTCACTCGCGTTGGGTTTGATTTTGACTGTCGTGTGTGGCACCACACACATTATTGGTACCTCTTTAAATAAGCTCTGTGAACATGGTGGTGGTAGAGAGAAGGTGCCTGGACAAATTGAACTGCATATATTCTAAACGGACTAGCATAAAAAAGAAGAGAAGAAAGTACAGGAAGTAATGTAAATGCTATCAGTTTTATATTTAACCCAAGTATTTTGGTGAGGAAAACAAGTTGCTTAGCATATGTAAAGTCGTCTATATTTATGAGACCATTGCTTAAAGAATATGTTATGTAAATACATTAATAAATTGTATCATTCAACACTCCATTTAATCTTGAACCCAATCTTGTGTATGCCCACCCATTTTCAGCCTGTCTGTGAGATACTCTGAGGCACATTTATGTTGTACAGAGAAATAAGAGCACTTAGCTCGCAGTCTCTTGTGGTTTCTCTGCCTTCCTTTCCACCGACCCTTCTTCCCTCCAGATCTCACTGGAAATGGTAATGAAAGACATAGTCTGCTTTGACAAGCCTGACTAGTCTTTACTAGCGGGGGGGTAAAAGAAGGAGCTCCAAGCTCAAGTCATTTACCTGGTTTGGTCATTTCTGTTAGCTTTTACAGCAACTTCAGACCAACTGTTTGAAGAGCACTTTCCTTGTCAACAATTTAGCTTATCTTTCTGTTTCCTTTATTTTCCCCTGCTTCTGTTAGTGGTTAACAACTCTTTTCCCTCAGGGAGCCTAATGAGGTTTTTAATACAATCTAAAAATAAAGCACTGAAGTGAAGTTGGTGAAAATTTGTTCCTGGTCTAATTTGGCACCCTTCCAACCTGAGTATTGTAAGAAAAGGAAATTTACAAGATTAAATAGGAAATGAAACAGCTTGAATTTCAAACTAAATTGTGTTTTCAGAGCTATCCTTAAACTGAACAGTCAAAAGTTTTAAAAATAATTGTTATTTTTTGTGCCCCCCACTTGATATGGATAGATTTTAATGGGAAAATTATAACTCAGATTAAGTTTAAAAAAAAAAAAAAGAAGCAGCCTTTTCCTAGTTGTACATCTTAAGCATTTGACATTGTTTTGTTTACTAAAATCATATAGAAAAGATGCAGTTAGTGAAAATTCTCATGCTGTTTTGTATAAAATACATGTAGATTCTTTATCTTCCTAGCATCTTGTTTCCAAGCCAGCATCAAATTAGCAAACTAGTAAAGAAGACATGTGATTCTCAGAGCTGGACGCTTTATACCTAAGGGTGGCTTGATTACATTTTATGTATCTTCAGGTGTTCCAGGGCATGCAGGCACCACCCTGGTCTGTCCCTAGCATTCCCACTGCTAGGCCTCTGTCTCCATGACAACAAAACAAAAACAAAGATTTCTAAACTCATTACATAGGAGGCTATGCTTGTGTGGCCTTTTCTGCCTTATTTCACCAAAAAACAACTACTTCATGACCTTCACCAAACCCGCCACCAGATGCTACACAGGTAAAGGGAAGGTCTTCTGAGCCTCATCTAAATGCCTCTGGTCGCAGCTGATGTTCTAGCCCAGTGCCCTTTACAGCTGGTTTCTCTTGCTGATTTTTATGCTCCCATCCATATGTAGAGAGTGACTCTGTTTGACCATAGCCACTTGTCTTATTAACAGCACAAGTGGCGTGGAGTTTGTGCTCATGCATTTCTAGGACCTATTTGCCCTCATTTTCACCAGTCTGTCCAAGAAATTGATAGGGTCCTGTTTCTCTTGTTATTGTATCATTCCAATACTTAAGAACAACGTTTGTGTCTCGGCTCCATAATTCATACTCAGTGATAGCAGGAGGAAAAGGTTTTTACTTACTTTGTTTGCATCTAAAATGCAAAGATAATTATCGAAGTCAAATCAGTGCTTTATTTTGAACACATTTTGGATTAACCTAAGCAGTGATCAAAAAATTATGAGTAAAACCTAGACTTCAGAGAAATTAAGACATAGCCCATCCATAAAAATTTTTTGGTTCCCTCACGACACAGCCATTTTTTTTAATTTTGGGACTAAACAGAAGGGAAAAATCATTAATTAGCTGCAAGTGTGTATTGATTCTATTCAGAGAAATTGAAATAAGCTCTTTGCAGGTGTCCAATCCTAGAAACCATTGGTCTCCAGATCTCTCCTACATAAGTGTTTTTCTGATTCTGTGATAACTAATTAACTATCATGTGGTGATTAAAAGAACATAAAGTAAGAGTATGATTAAGTGTCCTTCATTTTAAACTCTCTGTAAGAAGTGATTGGGGAGAAGTACCTACTGCAAGCTCTTCTGTTTCCAAGTGAAACCTCCATTGCCTGCTTGTCAGCCACAGTGAGGATAAGTTCTGCACAGAGCAGCTGCAAGGTTTTTCCTTTTAAAATAATGTGCATCCTTGTTTCCTGTTTGTGATGCCTCTTCTCTCACTGTGCTCCTATTACCTACCCATGGCTGCAGGGATCGAACTTTTCAATTAGACTTGATCTCCTTAAGTTGGCCAGTGTCCTTGTGGAGGTTATCAGTTCTCTTTATTTTTAAATATATAAAGGGGAAGAAAACTACATTTAATTTTAGAACTTCTCTTTTATATCAGTTCCTTGTCTCGAGAAAGAAAATAATAGCTAGGAGGCCTCCAAGAGAGTTGCAGGAATGAAAGTGTCCTTTACACAACTATTCCATGGCTTTGCTGGAACTATCAGCCAAGAATTTGTGTTTTTATGGCTTTGAGTTTAGAGGACCAGTTGGGATCATAGTAACACTGCACTAATTGGTATGTTGGCCTCCCGGAGGCATTTGTTCAGCTACGTGCACCTTTTATACTCTGAGATTGGATGGCTGAAGATTATATAAATTGTGTTTATCACCTTTTCACTCATTCTCTCAGAACAAGGACATGATGCGTGGGCCCTCAGATCATGAGCTATGGCTTACAGTGTGTTATTTCTGTAACAGATGAGCCCCTAAACATCCAGCTGTCTCCGTAAGACCTGTGTAAATAATGAGAGAATTATTTTTTTTCCAGAGAAAAGCTACTGGAAATCCTTTAGCTTTGTCTATACTAAATACCAGCTTTAGAGCATTTGGAGAAATGACGGCCCCCACACTTGGGCCGGCTCTCCTTACTAAACTCATTAGGCTCTGAATGTCTGTCTTGACACTGACAGGAGAAACATAGATGGCATAAATGATTTAAATTTGTTTAAAAGGGATGAGTGACAGTTTTTGTTTACTGTCTGATTTTTAAGAGATACTCTACCTCTTAACAGTTAATAGTTTTTAAAGGAAGAAATGGAATGTATCTTCAACGATCAGGCTGTTAACTAGGTACCTGCCTTCAGTCAGCTTCATTAATCAAAAAAATAATTTTTAATGAGGCTCAGTGGCAGAGCAGTAGCCTAGCACTTGCAGAGCCCTGGGTTCTATCCCCAACACTGCAAAAAAAGAAAAAGGAAACAGTTTGTTTTTAATGGTTCCAGGTAATGTTAGGTCGTCCTGTAATACTATGATTAAAAATATTCCAGGCAAAAAATTACATAGGAGATAAACAGTATACTGTATAGTTTTAGAAGAGGGAAGTGGGAACGGAATTTAGCCCAGGATTTAAAAAACAATCTCTGCAAATTTCTTTTGACAGCAGAGTTGCTTGTCTTGACTTCCAGTAATAGAAAACCAGGCAATTTGATTATCTGATTTGCAAGAAACATTAATGAAATTCCAGGGCATTTGTCCTGTTTTATGTGCAAATGAAAGTCTAAAAAATATTAGAAAGGCATTACGTTTTTCATGAGCCTCTGTTTTTTTTCATCTAAGGGAATGAAAAGTGAGAGGCCTGTTGTGATGAATTTTCATTAGACATAATGAGGAAAGTGAATAAATAGAACCCAGAATCGCCATATTTCTCAGTTCAGACTTCAGGACTCTCTTCGCACATGGGAAAATGATTTACTTTCTAAATCTAGAAGCACTTCTAGTCACATAGATCAAATTTAATTTGATGATCTGAACCATCAGAAATAACTAATATCTGTGTTCTTTCCTTTCAGAGTATAATCAGTTATAGATATGCTAAAATATTTTTGGCTTCAAAACAAAAGGAGTTTGAAGTTTAATTTTAAAAATCGAAAACCTTTCATCTGTTCCTTTTATTATGTTGAGTATTTTCAATAGCAAGATTAGGGTATACCAACAGTAGATGGTGAAATTAAAACCATGATGTGTAACAAATTTAATACAAAAAATTTTAATTTGCTGCTAGTTCATTTTGAGATCTATGTGTTGCCCACTGCCTCATCAAAATGCTTCACAATTGCAATAAACAAGAGTCTGGGTAGCTTTCTGTGAAGAAAAATTCAGGTTCCATGTTCCTTCTGCCAAATAATGGGAAGTCCTAAGACAGTAATTTTTTGAGAGCGACTTCTTTAGTTGACAGTTTTAAACTGTAGACTTTAATGTCTTCCTTAACCGTGCAATAGAAACAATACATGCTTTTTTTATTGAAGCCACTTCTGGATTGAGAAACTTTCTAGTGTTTAAGGAAACCCTGTTTAATGCAGAACTTTGGAGGAAATTATCTTTTTTTTTTCTCATTAAGTTTACTGGTACATTTTAGGTATACAGTACAGTTACATTCATCATTGGGATCTTGTACCTTTACATGACAGTTCTTGGTTCTCATTTTTTCCCCTTGTCCATGCCCTCCCTTCACCCCCTCCTACCCTCCCCATTGAGGAAATTATCTTTAAAATACTTTAAAATAGCACTTTGTGTATGGGGCCAGTAATCTTCACTTAGAGCTGGAATTGTGAAGGAAGCCACCGAAGCCTCGGACGTGCCTCTGCCCCAAGGCCAACTCAGAGCCTGCCGCCCACCAGCCAAAGTGGGGCCCAGGACTGGGCAGTGCACCTATGCCACTGGGGAGCATCGTCAGCCCTCTGCCCACAGTGGCATTTGACTTTGCTTTGGGGCCTCATCTTAATATATTTGGCCATTATCAATTTTTCATTAAATTTTTACTTAAATTATTATTTGTATCCCCTGGCATTTTTTTTAAAGTAGCACTTGAGTTTGTTTGACTTCACATACTTTGTATATGAAATTATTACAGAGTTCACAAAATTTTTTCTTAGATCACACACATGACACGTGATGTCAGAGGGACCAGTCAACTAAGAATAGGGAAAATCATTGGCGGCTGGCTAGTCAGGATAACTGATTAAAGACCGTTTTGAAACCATTTGTTGTACTGTGTAGACAGCTTTGTCACTCTGGAAGAGGTGGTTTGGGGTTTTGTTTTTTGGTGGTTGTTTTGCTGTCATCCAGCTCAGTCTTTCCATCATTTCGCTTTGTGAGTCAACTCATTATCAATCATTCCTCTGACCTTGAGCATTTAAGTCTACCTTCTCTGTGATTGAAGCAGGAGCTTAGCCTTTCTTCCTTTACTCTTCTCAGTGTTCTGAAGGCTTCCCTTAGAGACCAGCACCCAGGACGTGAGTGCACGGGGCCTTCTGTGGTTGCAGGGACAGGGTTGGGCCGCTCGGTGCAGCTGGAGGCCAGCTACGTGCAGCACGGTGAGAAATGCAAAGGCCTGCGGAGGTGAAGAACTGCAGGACTTCAGGAAGGGGACAGGCAGCATGCACTGCCAGTGGGAGCGCAACTGATTGACAAAATGCTTTTCAGTGGTGATAGGATGATTTGCTTAAGTGTTAGAACTTCTGAGTTTGTAATAAAGCTTTGTTAAAGTGTGTAAAAACCCGAGTCAGACATCTAGAAGGGAAACAGCTATGGAGATGAGCCTAGACATGAAAAAAAAAAAGCCAAGCCGTCATACCAGCAATTCTTATTTCTCCTTGAATATCATGCCTTTTCAAGACCTGATGCAAGGAGTAAGATATTTGTGCCTTTTTATAATAGCACCTATTATGAAAAAACGTAAGTCGCTTACAATGTTGGCCACTTTGTAACACTATAAACAGCCAGATTTATAGCTGTGGCTTCACACTGCATGATGAACTGCCTGGTTACCTGTAACAAAACACTGTAATGATGGTTTGCCAAGCCTGTATGGATGTTTGAAGACTTTATTTTTGCAGTCTTAATCTTAGGCTGGACCTAAGTCTGTCATATGATGTCTGTATTGTTTGTAGATGCTGACAAAACAAAACTAAACCTTTTGCTTTTTCTTGTATAATTTTTTATACTTATGCTAGTTCTAGATAGTTTGCAAATGAAGGTAAAGTTGGCATACTTTTCGATGATACTGTTTTAGCTTGAATATTCTATAATAAGACTTTTTATAGAGTATCCCATGCTAAATCACTCTAAAATTTGTTCTAAGAAGGGTGTATACATTTTGTTAATAAAATACTGTTTATAAATAGATGTATTTGCCTTTTAGTGGTTTGTTTTTGCAGTATTATTCATCACAAATTCTTAACTAAGCATTCTGAAGTCATTTCAAAATGGTTTTTTGGGAACTGAAGTCCTAGAACATCTGTGGCCCTGGTGGTGTCTGGTGAGCACTGTGCTGTTTGTATCAGTGGATACACGGCCTCCACATCTCTGTCTTGCACTCCTCTGTGTGGGGCCAGCGTGTCAGAAGTTAAGATGGGGACTACCGGGGACGCTTGGCGGGAATACTTCTGCCCTGTAGCAAGAAGGAGTAAAGCAGCTGTGTGGTAGCACCTGTCTAATCCCAGCATTCTGGAGGCTGAGGCAGAGGATCACAAATTTGAGCCAAGCCTGGCCAATTTAACAACTTAGAACCTGGCTAAAAAAAAATTTAAGGGGCTGGGGATGTAGCGCAGTGTAACGGCCCTGGGTTCAATCCCCAGTATAAGAAGAAAAGACTGGCACTATGAGGAACCTTATTTCCTAAAAGAAAACTGGTTTGATACAGTTTTTTGAGACAGGGTCTTGCTATGTAGTTTAGTCTTGAACTCACTAAGTAGCCCAGATTGGCCTCGAACTCATGGCCGTTCTCCCATCTCAGCTTCCCTAGTGCTGGAATTACAAGTGTGTACCACTATGCCTGGCTAAGAAAAGGTTTTTACTTGACTTCCATTATTTGGGGCATTTCATCAAAGATCCCACATTTGCCTCTGTGCTGTAGTTTTGCTAGGAGAGAGCAGAGAGGGTTTGAAACTGATAGTTTTTGAGTTTGAGTCTCAGCTTCTCCCTTCTCCACACTGTGTGACTCTCAACAAGGTACTTAGCCTCTCTGAGCTTTGTTTCCTCCATCTTCACCAAGGGTTAGGGTAATAACTGACTGAGCACATGTAGCAGTTTTGGTGGGGCATTTATGAAGTTCAACACTGATGAGTAAGCATTCATATAGAACTTTTATAAGCCATCTCCCTGATAATCCCCTTCCGATTCAGGTGGGACAGCTATTCAATACTGGTTTGGTAGTTTGCTGGGTTTTGTTTGTTTGTTTTTATGAGACAGGGTCTCCTTATGTAGTCCAGGGTGGCCTTGGGGATGATCCTCCTGCCTCACCCTCCAGAGTGCTGGGATTACAGGTGTGTAGCACTGTACCTGGCTGCTATTTTTTTAACATTTTTAAAGATGCTGTATGTACCAACCAGGTGTGGTGTTGCACACCTATAATTGCAGAACTCAGGAGACTGAGGCAGGAGAATCACCGCAAATTCAAGGCCAGCCTGAATTACATAATGAAACACTGTCTCAAACAAACAAACAAAAAACAATAAAGCTACAGCATGTATAGGAAATGCCATAAATCTTGAGTTCAGCTAAATTTCACAAACGTTTCTCTCCCTCATGTCAAAAAGTACATTAATGACATCCACATGTCAGAAGCCTCCTCAGTCACTGTCCTATCTTTCTGACCTGGCAGGTTAGTTTTGTGTGTTTTTGTACTTTGTATCACACTATAGACAAACATGGTAGGTGCTCCTGGGCCTGGCTTCTTTTACCGTGGTATATGTAATGTTCACACTCACCTTCATACATGTGAGCCACCATTTATCCATTCTGGTTTTTTTTGGGGTTTTTTTGGGGACAGGGTATCACTATGTAGTTGAGACTGACCTGGAACTCACTGTCTAGCCCAGGCTGGTCTGGAACTCAGCGATCCTTCTACCTCAGCCTCCGGAGTGCTGGGATTACAGGTGTGAGCCACCACGCCTGGCTTCCATTATGTTTTGATAGATGATGGCTCGCTTCCAGATTTGCTGTCAGGAATGTACTGTGAACATTCTCACGTGTGCCATTGGTATATACGGGCATCTGCTTCGGAATGGCAATTACTGGGTCAATGGAGATACATATTTGTTTGCTTATTTTTGTTTTAGTAAGTACAGTTTTCTAAAGCAGTGTACCGATATAACTCCCTCCAGCAGTAGATAAGAATTTCAGTTGCTCAACATCCTAACACCTAATCCATTCCTCTCCCAGTTTGAGGTCTGGAAGTCTATTACTCTAAGCTATTAACATACAAAAGTTATATCTGAGGAGAGAGGCTTAGATGACAGAACCATCACCTTTTTTTTTTTAACTTTCCATGTACTTCTGTACATTTTAAGGGTTTTTTCTTATTTAATCACTAAAATTTGTACTTTTTCTTTTAAAAAAGATCAGGAACTCTTGCACTCTAATCCCATCTTTCAAAGCTTGGATGAAAATTGACTCAGACACACTAAAATTGTATTGGTCTTATTTTTCTCTTTAAAAAAATGAACACAAGCTGGACATTGTAGCACACACCTATGATCCCAGCACTCTAGGAGGCTGAGGCAGAAGGATGGTAAGTTCAAGCCCAGGCTGGACTACTTAGCTAAATCCTGTCTCAAAGTAAAAAAAAAAAAAAAAAAAAAAAATTTTAAAAGTCTGGGGATGTTGCTTAGGGCAAAGGCTTTGGGTTCAGTCCCCAGTACAGGGATCGATGAGTTAAGCAATCAATATTTTTTTTAAATTACACTTAATTTGGTCAGTAAAAAGCTTAGAGCCAGATTTAAAGCAATTATAAAAGTGTACAGTGTGAAGCTTTGCAGCACACGTTTATTTCACAGTAATATTTAAGCTTTATCTTTTCAAGCTGCTCTAAATCCCCTTGGAAGGATAGTTGGGGAACACAAATACCGTACATGGAGAATATTATAATCTACGGCCTGAGGAGGTTACGTGGCAGGAGCCAGTCTCATTGACATGCCAAGAAAAAGAGAATGAGCCCAGCTAAAAAGGAAAAGACAAATGGATAGAGAAATGCTGAACAGTAAGACAGGCCCTTGCCTGCCTCCATTTCCCCACCACCACCCGGTGTTCTGCTTTGGAAATGTAATGCTCTCTGCTGCTGGGCTCCTGCCCAGTGTATCAAAGTGGTTTGTGACTGAACTGTGTGACCTTTCAGGAATGTTCTGTTAAACTCTGCCCTCTCACAAGAAGGTTCTGGGAAGCGCTGACCCCTCTCAGGAATGTTCTGTAACTCTGCCCCTCTGCTTCAGAAATGTTCTATAACCCCACCCCTGCTTCACTGAGCATGCTCACAAGGCATGTGATTCAGGAATTTTCTGTAACTCCACCCCTTTAGGGATGTTCTATACACACACCCCTGCTTCAGTGAGCATGCTCGCCTACCCTATGGATCCCTGTATAAGGAGGCTGTCATTT